ATGACGGCCACCGGGCCGCCAGGGGGAACAGGTCAAGGCACGAAACCTATTCCCACCTGGGTTGGCCCAGCGCTGGTAACCTACTGCAGGAACTGGACGCATTTCTGCCAAAAGCCGTTGGGTTTAGAGATTTGTTTCTGAGTCTCTAGGATCATGGCCATTAAACGGCTTGATCAGGAGCCAGAGAGGCCATTCATGGGCAGCGACTCAGGGTCTTGTTGGGATGGGGAGGAAAGGGCCAGCTCTACCCCCATCCCATGAGGCCCGCGTGTCTTATCACTGCGGGCCCAAAGCTGACTGTCCAGTGGCCTCTGGAGGATGGTGGTCACCAGGCTGCCAAGGGAGAGCAGGAGGAAGGACAGTACCCTTTCCCCCCTGGGGTGGCCTGGCGACAGTAACCTACTGTGGGGTTCGGATGCATTTCTGCCAAAAGCTGTTGGGTTTCGAGATTTGTTTCTGAGTCTCTGGGATCATGGCCGTAAAGCAGCTTGACCAGGAGCCAGAGAGGTCATTTGTGGGCAGCGACTCGGGGTCTCGTTGGGGTGGGGAAGAAGGGATTGGCTCCACCCACATCCCTTGAGATCCCACGTGTCTCATCACTTCGGGCCCAAACCTGACTGTCCAGTGGCCTCTGGAGGATAGCGGCCACCAGGCCGCCAAGGGGAACAGGCAAAGGCACGAAACCTATTCCCACCTGGGTTGGCCCAGAGCCGATACCCTACTGCAGGGACCAGATGCATTTCTGCCAAAAGTCGTTGGGTTTTGAGATTTGTTTCTGAGTCTCTGGGATCATGGGCGTTAAGCAATTTGATCAGGAACCGGAGAGGCCATGCCTCCAATTATATAGCTGAGCTGGAGGAGGTTTGTGGGTGTGTTTCCCATATACCTAACTTTTGGCCATTTACTTTCTTGCTAAACTTTGCCCCAAGTTTTTGGGGTCTGGCCAAAGGCACAGCAGCAATTTGGGGGTATCTGGAAGTCTGAAGCCACCATCAAGCTGCTGATGCACTCGTCTCACAGGTACAGATTGATCTGCTGGCGGCACTGCACCCCCTATTTGCATGTTTTTAAAATCAAAGCATCATATTTACAATGTCATTAATATTAATGTTTTGAGTATATAATATCACCAACCACATCCACCACCAAAGTGCCAACCTGCTTCTGTAGCTGTCTTGAAATCCGTGTTCATCCTTTTCTCTTGCCAGCAGACTCAGTTCCCTAGGCAGAATCTTAGAATCTGCTCACATATTAACATGCTTGTTCTGCACAAAAACCTTGTGAATTAGTACAGCTGGTTGGTCCTGGTCCCCAAATAACATTTATCTCAATATTGTGTCATCATAATGTTGATGAGAAAAAAAAGGAATCATAGGGCAAAAGACATAGTACAGTGGGTAAGTCACTTATCTTGCATGGGCTAACTGGGGTTTGATCCCCAACACTGTACATGGTCATCCAGGAGTGATTCCTGAGTGCAGAGCAGGAAGGAAGGAAGGAAGGAAGGAAGGAAGGAAGGAAAGAAGGAAGGAAGGAAGGAATTCTGAACAATGTTGAGCAAAATAATGATATCTGAGATCAGGTTTGATTCCATTAGTTATTTGGCTTAAAGTTATATTTTCCAAAAAACTTATTGAGGGTTTTATGAAGATTTTTGTACTATTGTTTCCTATTTTATGAATGAGTACTGAGACATGGAAAGGAGAAATAAGAAGGTTATACAGTAACTAGTAGTGCTAAGATTTACCACCAAGGCAATTTTGAACCGAAGTAATCTGGTTGTAAACTATGCTCTTAAATGCCGCAATATATGAGAAAGACTAAACTACTTACAAATATTTGACATTGTCTTACTGTTGAGTTTTTGTCGCTATGATGAATAAGGTAATATTTAACCAATGACAAATTACTTTAAATCCCTGTCCCATTTTCTTGCTTGTAAAATGAGATAACAAATGAGACCTGATTTCTTATTTTAGTTTTTCAGTAATACTAGTGACCTCCTAAATGTTTGGTGTTCTGTCTAAAATGGTGTCTTTAGATCAGATATGTAGTAGAATTTTGCATAATATTCTGAATTATACTAGTCTGGCTGGAGCGATAGCACAGCGGTAGGGCGTTTGCCTTGCAAGCGGCCAACATGGCCGACCTAAGTTCAATTCCTCCGCCCCTCTCGGAGAGCCTGGCAATCTACCGAGAGTATCTCGCCCACATGGCAGAGCCCGGCAAGCTACCCGTGACGTATTTGATATGCCAAACTCAGTAACAACAAGTCTCATGATGGAGACGTTACTGGGCCTGCTCGAGCAAATCGATGAACAACGGGAGGACTGTGACTGACTGTGACTGTGACTAGTGACCTTGCACATCTTGTCTGACATTCAGTATTCTGGGTTTTTGGGGTTGTTTTTGTTGTTGTCTATGCTTGCTCACAACCTTTATCTACTTCTCTACTGGGTTTCCTGCCTTCTAATAGATTTACAACGGTCATAAATATATTCTTATTCTGGCTTCCATTTCAGCTTTCGATACTACTTATCTCTTGAGTCTATAATTTTGCGAACAGTGTCCTGGGTTAACAGGGATATTTTAATTTAGATATATTGCACAGAACACAAAGATGAAATGCGTTATCTATGTTCTAAACAACTTAAAATTTAGCTTAAGAATCAAGAACTGCTATGTGAACAAATGTTAAATATTACATAAAAGTGTGTGATAAATGCAGTTTCGATCTTGGAAGAGTATTTAAATCTTTCTGAGCTTCAATTCCTTTATTTTGAAAGTGGGAACGATTAAAAAAAAACACCTTTCAGTTTCTTGTGATAAGACATGTTGACAGCTCAGTAGTACCTGAAATATACTACCAACTACCAACTGACATTCAGATAAAAAGCAAATAAATGAAATAATAATGGTTAGCTTTTGTGAAATTCTTATAAGACACCATATCACAATTTCCTGCAAGACATTATCACTGCCATTTTTCAGATGCAGATTCAAGGGTTACACTGCCAATAAGTGGCAATGAAAGACATGAAAGCCAGGTTCATTTGACCTTAACCACATGTACTTTCCACAATGCCAAGTTATTGTCAGATAGCATGCCAGAGAAGCAATGAAATTTCTCTTAAGTCTTCAAGGGGAAAGTCAGCATTTGACTAGACAGAAGAGAGGAAAGAAAATGAAGCCGGAGAGGAAGGGGGTTTGAGGATGAAAGGGCAGAGTAAAGACAGAACCGTGTCCCCCGGAACTCACTTCAGTCCTTTCATAGTCTGGGACAGAGTAGCCAGTGGGGAGACACCTAATCATTCTCTCTCTTTGTCTTTATTTTAAGAAAGCAGGAGTGACTCATCTCACTGGTGAGCTTGAGAAAAGAACTATGTGTGTTGCTTTGACTCCTCAAGTATGCCCTAGAAGCATGTGTTTTTTGCTTTTCCAGAAACTGTGAAACTACAGTTTTACACAAGCCAACTTTCCAACTCTGTTTATGCCTGGGGCATGTGTTTAAATCAGGGGTGAAATAGAAGAAGGTCTGTGGTCCCTGTAGATCTAAAGCAGTGACCACTTGTCCGGTGTTTCTGGAGAATGAAACTAACATTTTGCTCCCTGTCATAGCCCACTGCTATCTCAATAAATTCTGAAGTTGCATGGAAAAGGTAGGCACTCTTCGAAGGCCCCTAAAACCACAACAGGAAGCATTCAACAAATCATGGTAGAAGAGTAAACACATCACTGTGCAGAGGACAATAAGAATCCTGGGCTGATGTGTGCAAGATGGGCAAAGTGAGTGGCTAGAGGATTTGGGTGCCCCCAATAATGAAATACTTAAAGGAAGGCAGAGTGTTTGGACTTGATGTTGAAAGAACAGTTCTGAAGGCTTTTGAGCTGGAGAAAAGGTGGGACAGGTTAGCCTGAAGGTTAACTGGGTTGCAGGGAGACCAGGGAAGGAGCTGGGGAATCAGCCAGGTCCTTTCCAGTGTTTCAGAGAGAGGCCTGAGGCCAGATGAAGATTTGGCCAATGGGAGAGAACCTGTGGGGAGTTGGGGGGGGTAGGGGGGGCCTTCTGAAAATGCCAGGGTGATGGGGATGGGAGTGGGCACTGTCACGATACAGTGGTGGGGTTTTCCAAGTAAGTGGAGGCCAGTTTTCCAGCTCTGGATGAGTGGGCCTGGGCGTGGCGGGAAGTGGGACTCAGCCTCCTCTGCAAGCCAGATCTGGGGTGCTAAGCGTATTTGCTCTGGGGGCTCAAGGTACGAATGTGATACAATTGGGAGCAGTTTGGGGGGGGTCCCACGCGTCAGAAGGAACACACACTTGAAGGCCACTGGGAGGCAGCTGCTGATGGAAGCATGAACTATGAACTTGAGGGAACCTGAGACGGCAGGAGTGGGGGGTCGTGAGTGCGTGTATGGTGTGTGTGTGTGTGTGGGGGGGGGGGGGTACATCGCGCCTGGACCGGAGGCAACAATCGGACGCTGCAGGGAAACGGTGGCGACAGGCTCTGCCCTGCAAAGCGGGGCGGGCGCCAGGCTCCCCACTGGAAGCCCAGAGTCGAACCCAAAGCAGCCCCCGCCCCGCTCGCTCGGGCCGCGCGCCCACCCCTCGGGCTCTGGCCGCAGCCCGCTCTGGACCCCGGCCGCGGCGGGCTGCCTGCACTTCCGGACCTGTCCAGCGGCCCGGGGGTGGCCGGCTGCGCCCACTTCCTCCCGCCCCGGCAGCTTCCCGCCCAGGCCCGTCCAGGGGGCCCGCAGCGGCCCCGCACCCCGGCCGCCGCCCAGCAGCCGCGCCGGCTCCGGTGGGCTTCGAGCCCCCCGCCCACCCTGCTCCGGCCTCCGCGTCCCGGGGGTCGGTCGCGCGGGCGGCCGCGGGGGCCGGGAGCGGCGGGCGCGCTGCAGGAGTGGGAGGAGACGGGGAGGAGCTGGGGGGCGGCGGGAAGGAGGGGTCTGCAGGGGCGGCCGGCCCGGCCCGATTTCCTCGCAGGCAGCCGGTCGCGACGTCCGCGCCTTCCCCCGCCCTGCTCGCCGCGCGCTCGGACCCGGGACGGGACCAGGGTGAGCGGCGGGGGTCGCCGCGCGCGGCCGGGGAGGGCGGCGGGGGCGGCGGGCGGGACCCGCGGAAGTTTCGGGGGTCGGCTCGGGCCGGCTTCTCACTCTCCTCTGCCCGCAGATGTGGACTCGCTGGCTCGCGCTCGCGCTGGTGGCCGTGGCCGGGGTCGGCGCCCAGGTAGGAGCGCGGCGGGGATGCGCGGCCGTCGGGAAACTTGCGGGCCCGACCCGGGAGCCCGGCCCGGCGCGGCGGGTGTGCGGGAGGGGAGCGGGGAGAGGGGCCGGGGCGCGCGGGCGGCGGCGGGAGCGGCTGCCCACTCTCCGCCTCGCTTCGGGGTCCCGGGGACTCGGGAGAGACGCCTGCGGGTCTGGGCCCCGGGGTTGCAGGGAGCGGGTGGGGGGACTTCAGTGAATTCTCCTGTAGAGCGGAATTAATTTTGTTTTGCTTTGTTTCCTAAAGCAAGATTGTGCCCTCTCTCTTTTTTTTTCTTTCTCCCCCTTTTCTTTGTAAACTGCCCTGGGATTTTGTGTTCTTCGCAGGACTCCAACGGCCTCTCAAAAATCTCAGTTTCCCCTGAACACCAGGGTTGCGCAAGTGTCAGGGCTGCAGTGCTCCTTGGGGCTCCATGTTTCCAGGCAAAATAGTTTGGTGCTTTTGGGGTAATGTTTTCTTTTCCACTCGGGTGACCCTCCTGGAGACTCTGCAAAGCAGCCAGCGGACCGTTCCCTCGCAAGCCCCTGCCGTCAGCTCAGAGGGCTGGGGGCAGAAGATAAACAGTTCTAAATTCCCCGAGCTCTAAGCTCCAGAAAAGTGAGGTCAGAAACCAAACATTTGATAATTATGGCAGGAAATGTGGAAGGAATTAAAAAGCATGAGGGAGAAGAAATGGAATGTACATTACAAAAGAAATAGCTCCCTGGTGCATGGTTATTCTCCCTCTTTGAATTCTTTTCTCTATATTGCAGTCGAGCCCCACCCTGAGCGTAACAGCCTGGCTTAGACAAGAAAAAAAAAATCATGCAAGCATGCAAAGTCTTTCTAATGGAAAAAGAATTGTGTTATACTGAACTCTTATTTCATTTACTGCTGCATTGTTTAATTGTGGCAGACTCATGACTTCTTTTTACTGAGGATGAAGTGAAACGGCTTTTTACTGAGGATGAAGTGAAGTGGCTATTTGTATGGCATTAAAACTCCCATTTTAATGATGGAGAAATTGAGGGAGCGTTCCGTTACTCAGTGGCTTAAGCAATTAAATGCTAAGGAATGTGGGGAGAGAGATAGTATAGCAGATGGCAGACCCCAGTTTAGTCACCAGCACCACATGTGGTTCCTTGAGCACTGCCAGGCATGAACCCTGAGCACAGAGTCAGGAGTAAGCCCTGAATCCCACAGGAAGTGACTCAAAATCCAAGCAAACCAAACCAAATCAAACAAAGCACAAATGCTAAGGATGTGATACAAACCCAAGCAAGCCCCGACTTCTTAAACACTCCACCATGCAAGAAGGTAACGAATCAAGCACATTTATGTATCAGATTGGAGGCTGAGCACATCATTTGTTTCATCGGTGCTTCCCTAGTAAAGTCGGCTTGGTTACCCCCATTTCTCAGAGGAGAAGACCAGGTTGAGGGAGATCAGGGACTCCGCCCAAGATCACACAACCTCTTCGTTCTGAAAAAGGATTCAAATCCCACTGGCTCATCCTTTTGGAGCCCTCTTACACTCCAGCTCTGCGTCTTGCATGTTTTGTTTTCCAGGGTTTGAATGGGAGGGAGGCTTCCTCTCTACTGGTTGGTGTCGCCTAGTTAAGGATCCTCCCCTGCACCCACCCCCCTACCCCATGGTGGTGAATCTTCGGTTTTCCAGCACCCTTAGAAATTGGCAACCAGGGTGCGAAGTCACTCTGGGAACTGGAGTGCAAATGGGAAGAATGAGGAAACTGTGCATCCCTGTGCTGGGCTGTGGAGCCCAGGTTCAGGATCTAGTCTAGGCAGCGAGCACCACACTCCTCCCCAAGGCCTTCAGGGGAAAGGCATAGCTCTCATTTCCTGCCGGAGGTAGCAGAGCAAATGAGTGCTCTCACAGAATTCTCCAGCAAAATCTGTTAAGAGGCAAAGTCAAGAAGTGCTGAGGCGTGAAAACTGAAGCAGTTGGTACAGACAGAAGGCTGAGTAGTAGGTTGCATTTCAGGATTCCGGCTTACTAAGGATTGGCTTCAAACAATCTAATCTGACCCTAGTAACATTTGACAAGGTTTTAGTCCTGGTTTACTACCTGATGGTCTCACAGAACTTTTTCCTTGTTAGCTGTAACAAAGCCAGATAATGATGTTTGCCGTCTTTATGGTTATGAATCTACTTCAAAGGTCTTCATGGCTAAATTTACACATATATTTGTTGACTTTCAAAAAATAAAATGAAAAGATTTTCCCCAGTATTTATTGGTATATTATAAGCACAAATATTCAATTCATTGTATGTGCTTTTTTTAAAAAAAAATAACATTGCCTAACAGATTGTGTGAATATTTGAAAAATATTAAGCATTTGGTTTTTAGTTTTTAAGCCGTACCTGGCTGTTCTCAGGGCTTATTTCTGGCTCTGTGCTCAGAGATCCCACCTGGAAGGACTCAGAGAACCATATGGGGTTCCCGGGATCAAACCCAGGTTGGTCATGTGCAAGGCTAATCCCCCTGCCCACTGTACTATCTCTCAGCCTCTGCATTTGAGACCTGGTATGGAAGACAGGAGGTAGTGCACCCAGATGTTAGGGTATGTCCTCTTGAGACTCAGCAGGTGAGTCTGCGTTTGGGCTAACATGAGCTAGAGGGACTCCATGGCCCAGCTTCTTCTCAAAGATAGACAGCTATTGCTAAAATACACCTTCATTTTCCCTTGATAATTCTGGCACTCTGATTCTTTTTTTTGGAGCATTTTTTTTTAATTTTTATTAGTGAAACACCATGAGGTACAGTTGTAGACATACAAATCTTTGTGCTTGGATTTCAGTTATACAATGATTGAGTACACAGCCCTCCACCAGTGCCCATTCTCTACCTCCAATGCTCCCAGTATCCCTCCCACCCCCCCATCCCCCCATTCCCCCCACCCCTGTGGCAGGGCGTTCTCTTTTATGTGCTGTGGTTTGCAAAAGAGGCATTGAGTGGCAATTCTGTTTGGTCTGTAGTCTACTTTCAGTATGCATTTCTCATCCTGGGAGGATCCCCTCAACACCGTTTATTTGGTGCTCCCTTCTCTATCTGAGCTGCCTTTCCCCCTAGCATGTGTGGCAGGGCTCCAAACCATGGAGTGAACCTCCTGGTACTTATATCAGCTATTCTTGGGTGTTAGTCTATTATTTTGTTACTTTATATACCCCAGATTATTGCAATCTTTCTATGTCTGTTCCTCTCTTTCTGACTCATTTCACTTAGCACGATACTTTCCATATATACCACTTGTATGTAAATTTCATGACTTCGTCTTTTCTAACAGCTGCATAGTACTCCATTGTGTAGATGTACCAAAGTTTCTTTAACCAGTCATCTGTTTTCAGGCATTCGGTTTTTTTCCCAGGTTTTGGCTATTGTGAACAGTGCTGGCACTCTGATTCTTAACAGTCCAGATTTGCACATTTGTCATTATAAATCACATCCCAGGGGACTGATTCACAAATCAGAACACTCATTCCAGTAAAGGAATACTTGAGTAACCAAACATGAGTGTGTCACTGACAATAATGGTAACAAGAATGAGAATATTCACAAAGCAAGAAGATTTTGTCTTTCAGAAGCCAGATTTTTGTTTGCTTGCTTTTTTTGTGGGGGGGTGGGGGTGGGTGGCACACCTGGCGGTGCTCATGGCTTGTTTATGGCTTTGCACTCAGGGGTCACTCCTGGTGGTGCTCAGGGGACATTATGTGGTGTCGGGGATCCAACCCCGGTTAGCTGCATGCAAGGCAAGTACCCTGCCTGCCGCCTGTACTATCCCTCTAGCCCCTAAAGTCAGATTTGCTAATCTTGTTTTCTCATTATTTACATGTAATTAATCAACCACAGGGGTTTTATTGGCTTCTCTGCATTGCTTTGATTTAGTCTGATGCTAGATTCAGACAGTCTAGAATTGGCAGATTCTGGAGTCTGAACTGTTTCTTCTGGCTACTTTTTGAAGCTGCCCAAACTAGGATTTTCATATTCATCTTGTGCATTAATCACTAAAATAATTTATTATTTGTCTATACTTTGGAGTCACTCTTTCTGTGATTCTAAAGAAGTAGCTGTTACAGCAGCAGGATAAAAATAGCCAAAATGGATTAAGCAAGAACTCTGCAAGTTGAGACCCTAGTCACTGAAAGCATCTTTAGAAGGGAGACAAAGCTTCTTTCAAAAGGGAACTTAGGTGGATTCCTGTTGAAGGCTCTCGATTGTGTGCTAGAAAGCAGGAATCAAATCCCAAGCTCCGAGGAGCAGATTGGGGAAGAGCTCTGAGGCAGACAGAGGTCTGGCTCCAGTGGACTGCACCAAAATCCCGAGGCCAAAAGCTGAAGTCTTTAAAGTCAGTGAGGCAGAACAAACATTCCACAAGGATGAAGAAAGTAAAGGAAGAATTGTAAATACCAGTGGTAAAACATGGAAAACTGAAAATGTCAGTGTTTTGGTCCCTGTTTTCCTACAAATTACTGGACATCAAGCCAGAGAATTTCTAGCAGGCGCAAATATTATTAGCCTCATGATACCTGCTATTATCAGATTGAAAAAACTTAACCTTAGGTGGGTTCATTTTGTAAGCGAGGTGATTAATGTCCTGCAGGTCAAATGCACACTTTTATCTAAAAGCGTCTGTGCCATGAACTGGCTCCTGGAGTGAGTCATTGACCACATGGGTTTTCCCTTGCCTGGCTCTGCCCTCTAGCAGGATTCCGCACAGCTGACCACGCACAGGGCAGCCTCATGGATGAACACCAGATGTGGTTTTTGCCCTCACATTGCTTAGCAACAATGTGGGCCAAATGCTTAAAACCAGTAGCTATCATATATATTTTGTTACGAAATAAGTATCTTTGCAGTATTTTCAAAAACATTGATAACAGATTTCCCTTAATTTTGAAAAAGTCCTTTTTAGGGCAGCATACAAGTCTTTTATGTCTAGCTTGGTGAGATCATTTAACCCATTAATA